GGCTTGTCTCCTCTTGCCTCCACTTTCCTGCTTGTCTGCCTGCCACAGGCCCAGCAGTGCCTGAAGTGGACTGATCAGAATTTCTCTCTTCACAGAGCCCTTCTGCCTGGCCAACTACCCATCAGCCTTTCACAGTGTCATGTTCAACCCTGTGGAGCCCAGGTTATTGGCCACAGCCAATTCAAAGGAAGGAGTGGGACTCTGGGATATTCGAAAACCTCAGAGGTGAGCCCCCTTTATTCAGAAGTTGTTAAAAGTTTCCCCTGACTCAACTCTCAGGTAATGTCATCAGTCAGCAACAGTCTTGAGAACCTGGTTGGCAGTTGATCTCAGTTGGACATCTCCTAACATATCCCAGTGTCTCTGAAGCCAGGGGGACCCTATTTCCGGGGGGCAGGCAGTGTGAGATATCCACACTCCTTGCTAAGGAGGAATCATGAATTGTAATCTGGACTCTAGACAGGATCAGTTCTAGGCAGACTTTGCAATGGCAGAGCTCTCTTCAGCACTACCTTCTATCTTTAGGTCCAGGGTTCCCCAAATGCATGGGAGGTCTTCTGGAGGAGTGATGGTGATTTGTTAAACGCATTGCCCCTGAACTGGGGATTCTTAACCCCGGGCTGAAGGGAATATGAGCTTCAGGAAGACTGTGAACCCCCAAACTGCATGGAAATTACATTGTGTATTCATCTAAGTATGTTTTTCTGAGAAGGGTGTTTAGTTTTTTCAGTTTCACAAAAGGACCAGTGACTGCAACAATAAAGGTTAAGAGCCACTGCACTACAGTGTTAGGGACCTAAGTGTTCCCCTTCTGTTTGCATTATTAAAGAGTACACTTAGGACAATTCTGAGCTGATGGTCCGAATCACTAATGGGGGAATTTCAGACATCATTAAGAGAAATATGTGGATGGGGCAAGTAGGAGCCTCTTTCATGTTCCTTAAATCCCATGGGGGAGAGATGACCTTTTATGGCATCTGTGCATGAAGCCAAACCTTGCTTTATGAAAGATTTGCATGCATTGCTAGCTCCTCTGAAAACTCTACATGGAGGTAACTTCCCACTTGAAGGTACTATTGCAGAAGAGTATCATGGAAAGTAAGCGAGGTTATGACTTATTTCATGGGCCTCGGATGAAAGGGGCAATTGAGTACAGAGGATTATCTTCCTTGGTGATTTTTAATTCTAGCTAATTCTCTCCATGGGGCAGTCTGGTGAGGTTGGATCTATGGCATATCTGTGTAGCCCAGGAGGGGATCCCTGGTGTTGAGCAGGGCTCCCTGAGGCTCCATAGGGCAGCAGAGATTTCTCCTGCTCTCTGTTGCCTATGCACCTGGCTCTTCCTTTTCCATGTGGCTGAAATGCGTGTAGTAGCAGGACCCCTATTGTGCATTTACGCTGTGTGCTGAGGGAGGCTTGTTCTCTGCCAGGAAGACAGTCTCCTGTGTTCGGCTCTAGCCTCCTCTGCCACTTTGGGCTCTTCGGGAACAACTGTTCTGCCTTGTCCTTATCACAAAAGGCAGAATTTGGACTAAAGATGCCAGCTTTCTCCCAACCTGCTATCTCCCATACTGAGAATGAATAGCTGGCAACTGGAGTGAGCCCTGAGCTATTCATCCCCAGTGGAAAGCTTGAGTAGTTCAGGATGTTAGCAGTGTCTTGAGAGAAGAGGGGGGTTGAACGTTAATGCTTCTCCTGATTTTCCTCTACCAGCTTCTTACTGTGCATTATATTGGGGCCCTCCTCCCCTTTCTACTTGTCTGCTCACTAAACATGGCTTCTTTCTTTTTAAAAAATTCTGAGATTTCTGCTTTACTTTTATAGTAACATTTATTAGGTTTAAGGTCTATATCCAGAAAAGTGTAATGAATAGAAAAAAAAGATAGAAAAAGAAAATCCCATCTCAAGATTATCTCTGTTGCTTGTATGTTTTTTAAATGTTTTACATCAATACAGTACTTCTCTTTCCTGGTCTCTAGTCACTATCTCCAAAGGTAACTACAGTGAACAGTTTCTCATATATCTGTCCAGAACATAACTTAATGCGTGAAACTCACATAAGGAATATATATCCTTAAAAGAATTTAGACTAAAGGAACCACATAATAATACCACTGTGCTCAGCTTCTTTTTCCAGTTAATAATATGTCTTGGAGCTTTTCTCATGTAAGCACTTGCAAATCTAGCACATTCTATTAATGGCTACATGGTATTCCATTCATATGATGTACCTAGCAACCAGACTTCTTGTTTCCTGTTTGGGCCATTACAAACTATGCTTCACTGACCCTGGTCACACATCTATCTTGGCCTACCTTTGCAAAAGTATCTAGGTAATTGCTGCATCAAACAAAGAGTGTACGTTTTTGCATTTTTTTATAAAAATTGTCAAATTTTCCCACGACCACAAAAGGCTGCACTGATTTACAAACCTACCAACTGTGCATGAGACTACATGCATCTCCAGACCGTCATGAACACTTAAACTGTTGCAGGTCTTATGGGGGAAAAATATCTTCTTGTTTTGATTACTTCTTCATTTATGGGTGAGGTTATGTGGTTTCTTTGGTAACCTATAGTTTTCAAAGCCCATGTGGGAGAAAAGTCATCTAGTAAAGCTAATTGGCAATCTTGACTGATTCCTTTTTTAGAATAAAAGGAGGAGCACAGTGCTGTGGAGACTAGGATGTTTTTACCTGTTTCTTTCAACTTTTCTAAGGTTTTTTGGATATGAGGCGGAAAAAGGGTATGAAATATTCTTGAGGTCCTGTTCTTCACATCCACTAGTGTTTGGGGATTAAACTGCAGATCTTTTCTGTTTGAATTTTCTCAGTGCAAGTTGGTGTGGGGAGAAAGAGACGGCCCTTTGTGTTTTCCATGCAGGATTAATTATGCTGAGTTGTAATGGATGATTTGTCTCCTAAACACAGCTTCCTAGAAACCCCAACCCAGATCTTGGGACAATTCTGAAATGCCTGGGAGGACAAGCCTGGAACAGGAGAGATGATCTATTTCAGGGATACTTAAAGTCTAGGGAAAGATTTTAGGGAATTTGTGAACCCCTTGTAATTGCAGGTAAAATCATGTGTGCTTGTGTATCTGAGTGAGCACACGTGGCATTTTTTTCTAGGGACAAGGAGAGCTTTTACCAGGTTCTCATAGAGACCTTTGAAACCCAAGAGGATGAGTCACTCAGTGTTCTAAAGATTCTTGATGTAGAGCCTGTTGTGGTTCCTTAGCAGGCTTCTAAGTAACTTCCAGCTTGTAGTAGCTTGGGCACATGTGTGAATTCTGGGCCTATTCAAGTGGCCCACTGGCTCCCTAGAAACAAATATATCTCTGTGGAACAATAAGAGGGGCTCACATTGAATATCTTTTCCTTCCTAGCTTACCTTATGGGTGGTTCCATGCTGGAACGGTTTCCCTGCTCTACCCCAAGCCTAAGCTGTGTCTCTCCACTTTAGCAGGTAGCCCATAGGAGTGTGAACAGGTTCATGTTTGTCCTACTACTGCCCTGAAATAAGCTGACTAGAGGGCTGGCTGGTAGAATAAAGTGTCAGCTCTAGAAGGGACTTCAGTTATCATCTGATCTGACTTCGTATTGTACGGATTGTAAAGGGAGGCAGAAGAGCTTGATGGTTTAGAGTGTAGGATCTGAAGTACATCCTGGGTACAGAGCCAGGTAGTACACCTTAATAGCCATGTGATCTTGAGCATGTTACTTCACCTCTCAGTGCCTCATAATAATAAATAATAGCTAACATTTATTAAGCGTTACATGCTGGGGATAATGACAGTTACATGAATAATTCCTTATTTAATCCTATGACACCCTTATGAAATAGATTCTATTATTCCTATTTTAATAATAAGGAAGTCAAGGTACAGAGAGGTGAAATAACATGCATATATGTGTATTATATCCTCCCCTGTATGTTCTAGTTTTCTTTCATCTATGCCTCCTTGAAATAAAACTTTGTCAGAATTCCTCTCAAATTTTTTTAATACAGGCCTATCCAACTCTAGAGTCTGAGGCCTTTAGACTTTCTGCCTCCCTTTTCACTGTCTTCTGGCCCAGCCCCAGTCTTCATGCTGACTTCCCATGTTTCTCGCTCTCCTAACCCTGGAAACGCGCACATGCTCTTAATTTTTCTTTTGTAAAGCTTTAGAACAGAGGTTGTAAACTAGTTGCCCATAGGTCATATTCAACCCACAGAGATATTTTGCTTGGCCTACATGATGTAATAGTGTTGAGAAAATTACACAGAAAAAATCACAGTTTCTAACATCTCTTGAAAAATTCAAAAGATCTGCTATCATTGGACCTTTATTCTCACATGGCAACAGTCAGCCGAAGTTGAATCATGGGTTCCTCTTTAAACCTTTGGGATGTGTTACAGGTTCCACCACTCCTTGATGTCTTAATCCGGGTGTGCTTCTCTCATTTATGTTATTTCCCTGGTCATGTAGTCATTGGAGCTTGAGGGTCTGCTTTGGGGATTTTAGTGGAAATGAGGGGGGCATAGCTGGAGAACTTGAGTATAAGTAACTGGATAAGAGAAAACTTCACATATACAAGTACACATTGCAAGTTTGGGCAAGGTTTGGTTTATTTCATTTAGATTATTTCTGCCGATGTCTTTTCACAAGCATCCTCTCCTTTATCACTGCCAACATCCCAGTTATGATGTCTTGCTTGGACTATTGCAGTGGCCTCTGAACAGTTTTCAAAACTGAACTTGAACATCGAGTGTTCAGGAAGAGTGAAGTTTTCCCTGCTGTTACTCTCCTTGTCTCACCGTTTTCATTGCCTGTTTTAGCTGTCTGTTCACTCACCACCTCTCTCCCTTCTCGTATCTTTAGTTTGTCAGTTTTTGTCAGGAACCGTTAGTTCTGTGACAGGTAACAATGTCTTGCTTTGACAAGGATAATAAAGAGAGTAGTTCTTTCCCACTCAATAATAAAACTAGGGCAAGCCAGGAATTCCTGTAAAGGCTTACCTTATAAGCTGGTGCTTTTACGTGTTGTGTAAATGATACACTTGATAATGGGTAATGAGTGCAAATTCCTGCCCTCAGAAAGGAATTGCTCTTAGTAACTCACCTGGCTTTGGGGCCTAAATGTTCTCTTGGCCTGTACCAATCCTGCTTCTGTAGAGACCAAATTAAGTGTAACTCCTTGCCTTCTGAACAACTAGGCAATCTCTGCCACATTGCATTTGAGGG